TGATATCTCATTGTAATTTTAATGTGCCTTTCCCCATGACTAACAGAGTTCAGCATGCTTTTATGTTTATCTCCCATTTGCATATCCTCCGTTATGAAGTTTTAAAAATGAGTTGTCTCTTTTTCTTTTTCTTTTTTTTAAAGATTTATTTTTAGAGAGAGAGAGAATGTGTGTGTGTGTGTGTGTGTGTGCGCTTTTGTGCGCATGAGCACAAGTGTGGGGAGAGGGGGTAGGGGCAAAGGGAGAGGGAGAGAGAATCTTAAGCAGACTCCTTGCTGAGCACAGAGCCTGACGCAGGGCTCGATCCCACGACCCTGAGATCATGACCTGAGCCAAAGCCAAGAGTCAGACACCCAACCGACTGAGCCACCCAGGTGCCCCTTTTTCTTCTTATTATCAACAAATTGTTTTGGGGTCAAAAGAAAACTACCAGGGCCTCCCTGTTACTAACATTCATCTGTCATTTCTGGGGCCATTCCTTCCACGTCTTCATTTAAAAAGAGATGTGGGGAATCCAATTGTGATTGTGTGCACTCAAGTGTTTTTGAACAACTTTGCAAAGGGCTGTTAAAGGCCTGAGGTCCACATGAAGGGCCTCAAAGTCTTTCTGATTCATTGATGTTCCCAGAATGCTTTATACAGGTCCCTCCGTCCCCTATCACACCACTGTCATTATTTGCTACTCATTTGTCTCTTCTAGACCTGCATTTGGCAGGGCTCTTCATTTTGTTGAGGCAGGGAGTGATGTAAACAGGCTTTGGCCCAGGGGAGCTACCCACCCTCGGATAGGACACCTCTCATAGCTTCCTCTACTTTCTTCGTAACACTCACTCGTCTTGGGGTGTATGGGTGTCTCTGTCGTTTGAGCGTCTGATTCTTGATTTCGGCTCAGGTCATGATATCAGGGGCGTTGAGATCGAGTCCCGCTCAGGCTTCATGCTGGGCATGGAGCCTGCTTAAGATTCTCTCTCTTCCCTTCCCTCTGCCCCCCACCCCACTCTCTCTAAAAAACAAAAACAAAACCACTCACTTGTCTTAGTTCTTAATTACAAATGTGTGTGATTATTTGATTTTATAAATTCTCCTTTAGCCTATAAACCTCTTAAAACTGAGATCCTGTTCCTTTAATCCACTATCCTATCTTCTGTGTTTGCTAGTGCTCAGTACACAGTAGGTAATGAATACTAGTTGACAAGTAATTGAAATGCTTTGGATCGGAATTCCAGAGTTGCCTGTACTATGGCATGGCTCCATTTTTCCTTAAGTCTCTGGGAAATCGGATTATTCCTTCTTGAGACCAGTTGAGTCTATCAAGTGCTACTGGAAAGTTGTGATGGGAAGACTGGAGGATGAGCAGTATGGGGACACTTGGGGTTTGGTTTCCCAGTCCGCCCCCTAACTTGCTGTGTGTCCTCCTTCACCCCGTCCCCCACCCCCAGCAAGTCATTTTGCCTATCTGGACCTTTGTTCCCCTCGATTTGAAGGGAAAATTTGGATTCTGACCTCAAGGATCTTCCTGGCTGCATCCTGGAGCCCAATGAAACATTTCTGCTTACAGGAAAATGCTGGGCAAATGGTAAGCTAGTATCAGGGCCTGAGCGGGCTTGTCTAGAAGTGAAGAGCAGACTGACCCGGGTGGCAGGAGCTATGAGCCACATGGGCTTATTCCCATGGCCTGAAACGAAATGAAGTTTGCCTAGTTGGATTTTGAAATTGCTTGTGATCCATGGTTCCTTTTTTTCCTTCCATTTTCTCTTTTGAACAAGAATGTCTGTTATTCTACCCCTGTCCCATCACTGAATTTTGGGAACAGCCAACTCGTTTCACAGGCTCACATGGAGAGTGATTATGTCTCAGATTGGATTAAACCTGGAACCTCATCCTTATCCGACTTAGATGATTTCGTTTCAATGATGAGATCTGAGACTCTGAAGTTAAGATTAGGTAAGATTTTGGATCTGAGTTGATGCTGTAATGTGTTGAAACTCTGTGGGATGTTGGTTTCCGGTGAAAGTATTCTGCATGTGTGCTGGATGTGAACCTCTGGGGCCTGGAGGGTGAACTGTGGTAGGCAGCAGGACCCGCCCTCCCCACAAGATGTCCATGTTTTTTTTTGTTTGTTTGTTTTTGTTTTTTTAATTTTATTTATTTATCTGACAGAGAGACACAGTGAGAGAGGGAACACAAGCAGGGGGAGTGGGAGAGGGAGAAGCAGGCTTCCCACGGAGCAGGGAGCCCGATGCGGGGCTGGATCCCAGGACCCTGGGATCATGACCTGAGCCGAAGGCAGACGCTTAACAACTGAGCCACCCAGGCGCCGCGAGATGTCCATGTTCTAAGCCCTGGGGCCTACGCATGTGCTATGCAACATGCCAAGGGGGAATTAAGGAGCACAGGGACTGAAGGTTGCGCATCAGCTGACCTTAACACAGGTAGAGAATCCTCGGTTATCCAGGTAGGCCCAACGTAATCACCAGGGCCTAAATGGGGGAGAGGTGGCAGAAGCGGAGAATCAGAGAGGCAGAGTGAGCAGGACGTGGCCCAATGCTGCTGCCTTTGAAGATGGAGAAAGCAGGCCACAAACCAAGGATGCAGATGGTCTCGAGACGCTGGAAAAGACCAGGAAACAGCTTCCGCCCTAGAGCCTCCCAAACTGTCAGATACTAAAGTCTGTGCTGTTTTAAGCCACTACGTTTGTGGTAACTTGTTACAGCAGCAATAGGAAATGAATACAAGTCCCGGCCAGCAACTGACTCCTCCGGGATCTCAGACAAGTCATTTCATCTTTGCATTGCTGCGTATTCCTTGTTTCTCAAAATAAGAACAGCCGATGAATGGGGAGATTTCCAGCTTCCCGGCTTCTCCCAGGCTGGGCCGACACAGGGACAGAAAGCAAGGGCCAACTGCCATCCTCCCTGGAACGCCCTCCACCCTCCTTCCTTTGATGTATTAAGGGCTCCCTTGGGAACCCCCCAAGCACACCTTATCTGGAGTACTGCTCCTTATCTGCCTCTGGGGGACCCGCAGCTCCTCCCTCCTCGACAAAACCTCTTTAGAATACAAAAGCTCTTTAGAACTGCCTGAGACAGAGCAGAGCCAGAGCCTCGCTGGGCAAACAGGCTTTCGGAGATGAAAGAGCCGCCCAGACAGCCATGGCTATCCATGGCCACCATTTTTCCCACTGGAAGGATCGGTGGTGCCCTGAGGTAAGGATGGCCCATCCAAAGACCTCAGATCGCCCGCAGTCCTCCTTCCTCCCACCACACACCTGACACAGCACATCCCTCGGAACATTCTAGGATTCCAACTCCTTCATTAGTTGTGTTATGAGCTTTTATTTAAAAAGCACATTTAATACAAGGATAGTTTCGCAGATACAAGTTTTCACTTTGTATTCTACAAAAGTCTTTGAATATTATTCTCTTTACAAAAAATGGGAACCTTACAAAAATACTGACACTTTAATGTTTTTATACAGTTTTCTCTAGTTGCAGTTATTTCTTTCATTGTAAAACAAGGTCTACCACGGAACTACGATATTTTAGTTGATATTAAAAAAAAATTAACTCAATGCTTTTTTAAGCAGCTAATGTAAATAACACAGGTCAAGACACAGTTTATAATCATAGTGGATATAGCTACAATTGTTTCAGAAATAATATCTTACATAGTTAACTTTTAATGTTTTATACATTATTTATATAATATTTATATATAAAAATCATAGCTTGCTAGGGGTTGAAATGAAAGGACGACTTCTGGAGTGAGGATGTGCATGTGGTTGATCCATGTGGTTACATTTAGCCCTTTGAAAGGTCTGCATCCGCCATTGGAAAGCCTTTCTTCTTTCCTCCTTTCCTCAAAGGTTCAGTAGAAAGGATCCCTGTCTACTGCCTAGAGCGGGGCCTTGCTTAGAAGGACACTTACGGAGAGAGGATGAGAAAAACTCTACGGAGATTTAACCCACGTGTTCTGCCCAGCAGAACCTACCAAGAACTGCCCTAGAGATCAACCCCAAGACAATAGTGCTTTACACAGCTTAGCAAGAGCAGCCCCCACAGAGACCCTGGTCAGCTCCCAGATCCGGAAGGGTAGCCTGTCAAGGCATGAGACCGTCTGCTACTCTGGCTCATTCTGACGTCGAGTAGCCAAAAGGCTGGTGAGTTTTTCATTCTTGCCCCTTCGCTCCCACGTCTCTTGTGCGTAAGACTGCTTTCCATCCGCTGGGGGCAGAGCATGCCTTTGCTCTGTCGGGACCCTCCCAGGAAACCCTGGTGGGCACACAGCAAGGGCTTCAAGGGAGAAGCAGTGAGCGAAGCTAACTAAGTGTTACCGAGAGTGTGCGGGTGCTGGGTGACTGGTGAACACAACAGCGGCATCCCGCAGCCGACGTCCCCCCATCACAGCATGGTGCAGCCAGAGAAGACCAGTGAGGGCCAGCACCCTCGATCTCTTCTGAAATTGTGCTATTTGTGAAATTCACTCATCCACAAAGAGTCTCCTAATCACTAAAGTGAGGGGCTGTGGTTGCTGGCCTGTGGGCCGGGGGCGTGAGGGCTGAGGCCTCAGGACGGGGAGCTTGGACTCAGGATCAGATCACCTGGCTTAGAAAACTTGCTCTTTCCTTGTATTTAACTTCCTGAACTGAAGTCACAGTACAGAATAGAGTGGTGTGGACAGAGAGACACGAGACGGGAGCCCCCCAATGGCTATTTTTCTTGATTCAGTGCTATTTCTGGCATTGCGTGCTACAGAGTGAATTTGAGCTTCTCCCACAGGCCTGGGATTCCTCGGGTCACAAGGCTGACTGGCAGACTCTACGCAAATCATTTTAGTGTTTGTTCCAGAACAAGCCCGTGTTCACTAGAACATGAACACTTAAAACCAATTGCACATCCAGGATTTCGGCACTTGGTGTTAGTTTGCTGCTGTTTCCATATAGGTGAACGCTACCTATCTTGGAAGGCCACAAAGTAAGACTTTTTTTTTTTTTCCTTTTTAAAATTGGTCGGGCAAAAAGTTTTTCCCTACATTCTACTGTCTGATGAGATTGGAGAGCAGCAAGAACTTGCTGTCAGCAGTCATTTTATAAAACAGCTCAGGAGGTGGGCGGCACCTACACCATGTTGTGGTGATTGTTCCTGTCAATAATGTCCACAGGTGAAAGAATTTCCTTCCGGAGAGCCGGGGGAGGCAGGGACAGTGTCGTCTTGGTCTTGAAGAGGTCGGACACAAAGAAAACCTAGAAGCACAAAATCAGACATCCAAATCAACAGCCGACATCTGGGGTCTGGGGATAGGCAAAGGGAAGGTCATAGGAGCACGGACTTTGGGAAAAGGGGACCCCAAACCATAGATCTTTGACTAGGGAAGGATCACATAAAAGTCATGTGTGTGTATATACACACACGCACACACAGACATCCATATATATATAAATATATATATTTATATATATATATATTCCAACTTGTGTTATACAGATAGGAAAACTTGAGCCCAGGGAAAGACGGTGACATGCCCCAGGTTGCACAGCCGTGATAGGAGTAGAGCTCAGTTCTCTGGACTCTCAGTCCAGTGCTCCATATCCGAAACCCTACTTCCTTTATTTCTCAAGGCAAAAGAATAGCGATGAAAAATAAGGTCCTAAACAAGGAAGCAAGTTGTAATTAGGCACACCCATTAATCCACGATACTTTCCCTTTCCTCATAAAGAAATCTAGGGTGTGACCACAAGAGATCAGCGGACATGAATTCCTATCAGCAGGACTGGAGAAGGAAGCAGTTGTGACCACGTTTTCCTGAAACCCAGGGAGCTCAACAATTTGATGGGGGTGAAGAAGCCGGGGTTTTGTAGTTGAGGGAGTCAGCAACTAACCCGGAGGAGAGGTCAATGAAAACTCCTATCGCTCCTTCCCAAAGTCCTTCCTCCTTGTGAGCATTAGACCTCACCCAATCTTAGAATCACTGAGGAACATTTACTGAACACCCAACCTGCAAGGCTACGGGGATGGCTCACACATATAGTTCCTGTCTCAATTAGCTGACGATGACAGATTCAAGAACTTGATGAGTTGGCTGAGTAAGAAAAATTTGTGCTTTGTATTAGATGGCAAAGTAAACATGCAGACATCCATTTGAGCCACTCAGCAACAGGAGTTTGTATTGAGTAAACCATAATAAGAGGCAGCTATCAGTCATCTCTTTTAATAGGAAACACATGGCTAGAACGGAGACTAGAACACAATTCCAAATTTCCTTATGTCTAGCAGCTTTCTGGATTGAAAAGTCCTTGTCCCGCAGTGGGTCACACACTCACTAATAATGACGGTACTTTGACTTCATTCTGGACACAGTATAGGCTAGCAAGTGAAGTTCTTAATTTAATAAGACTTTGCCAACACCAAGGCTTGGAGAAGCCAAGGCCCGGCTGTAGTAGGGACTTGGATCACCTGTTGAACCAATTTCCAAAATGTCCTTTCTGTAGAAATACAGCAATCAACAAAAGGACCACAAAAATCACAGCAAGAAACTGGCGATGCTGGTTACTCAGGAGCTGAAGTGAATAGAAGACAAATGGGAAACAGAGACTTACCAGCCACTACAAAACCATGACACCTTTTACATTTTGTTCCCGTGCCATAGATCATCTACCCAAACATTTGCAGTCCAAGCTCTACTGAATATGCCATTTTACAAAGGAAAAAAATTAAGCCTTCTGTCCCTTTCTTTTCCAAGGAGGTATAAACAGTGAAAGAACTGAGAGCCAAGGCAAGAAAAGATTGGTACCCAACCCTGCTGGGAGGTGCCAGGCCCCCTGGCGGGGAATCCTTTATACACACTGGAGAAGAGGCTTTCAAGTGCTCCCGGGATAAGGAAATACTAAGGAACATGATTAAAGTTAAACGTGGAGACAATTAAACTTTTCAAGTCTTGCCTGACAGGTGCAGAGCCAGTGTCCCCACCTCTACCTGGAAACCACCCTCCCCTTCCCCCTTAACTTTATATCGGAGGAAGGCGTCGATCAAGCCCTCCATGGCTGGCTCTCAGCTGCACTTATTCCTGCCCAGCAGCTGGCCGCACCAAATAAGGGCTCTTTACTGCTCTCGTTTCTCAGAGAACTTTCTCCCAGCTTCATCCCACCTGCCGAAGACAAACATAGCAGGGGACAGGCCCCAGCCCCTAACAAACATCTTCCCTTCAAGATTCTGACACCACCTTAATCTATTGGCTTATTTCCCAGCTTAATTTTCTGAGCTCATATCTATTGCATATTAGGGCTTCCGTTTCCCAGCTGCAAGATAGGGATAATATCGAGGTTCAAGGCAATAATGTACTTGAGGAGACCTAAACCTGCGTCTGGAACATACTTCAATAAAAAACGTTCCTTTCTGTAATGCTCTGGGCCCCAAAGGAATGACCTAACGGGCCTTGAGTAAGACACGCTCCTCATGTGTCCCAAACCTTGCTTGTCAGCTTTTCTTCCTAGATGGGAGGCCTCTTGGGGATGGAATCCGGGCCCTAATGATCCTACATCACCCACAACACTTAGCATTGAGCCTTGCCCACACGAGGGGCTCAGTGTTTGTTGTTGAATTTCTAAACTCCTCTCTACTGGAAGAAGCACTCTAGCCTTCGATCTTAACGGCACAGGCAAATCCCCTGGACTTGAGGGGAACCATGTGCTCATACCCTGCACGTGCGCGACTGGGCAGCGGGATGAAAAGTTGAGTGAGGTCCAGCAGAATCCCCCTTTAAGCTGCATTTCGCTTTCAGCATGAGCTTGAGCTTACACAAACACTTTTTTGGGATCATGAAACCCGATCCTGTCAGGACTCAAAACAGGGCTCAGTCTTTCTATCGCTTGAACAGCAGGACACAAAAAGGACTAGCAAAAGTGAAAACTTCACTCGGAGGGCAGCTCCATCTCCTGCAGAAGGTGATCTCCACCCAAAAAGAAAACCCAGAGGCCCAGGCGGGGAAGGGTCTATACAAATGAGGTAGCTATCTGATGTCTAGGGGACTGCTCCCAGCCTGCAGCCCCGCATCCACAGATCTCTGTGTAGGAAAGAGCACAGTAGATAATAAACAACAGTGTTGGCAAGCCAGACATCTATACCCTATGCAACAAGAACAGTTCTTGTTTGCACTGCCCGAAGCATTTGCCTTCAATTCCATTTCTCCGATTCTTCGCATTTTATAAACTGCTTTTTCACAATGAACATCTGCTCTGTGCCAAGCCCTGAGATTATAAAGATAAGTATACGTAAGAGTCCTTTGCCCTCCAAAAGCTCACAGGGCAATGAGGAAGAGATCCAGGCAAACAGACAGCTACAATGCAGTGTTAAAGATCACGATAGAGGGAAGCCAGGGTGTTCAAGCAGCCCAGAGAACGTGGCATCTAACCCAGACTGAAGGGGACGGGAGGGGGCTTTAGAAGGCTTCCCCCAAAGGAGGTCTATTAGATGAGCTCAATAAAGGTAAGTGGGAGTTAGCCAGGTGGTGAACGCCAGGAATGTTGTTCTAGGCAGAGGGGCACAGGAGTGAGGGAGGACAGCACGTTCAGGAGCTGCAGGAAGGAAGCTCAGTCTGGCTTTGGCCAAGCAGTCCGTAAGGCTGGAGAGAGAGCCAGATCTTGAGAAGCCTCCCAGGACACGTTAAGGAATTCGGACCTTACCCTCATGGGCCTCAGGAACCACTGTCAAGGCTGTCGCAGGGAAGCAGCCTGTTGAGAAGACCGTATCTAAGAGGCAGAAGGAGTCTAAAAGAGAGCGGGAAACCCGAAGGCAAGGGCGCCAGGTAGGACCTGCAGCATCTAGGGGAGGGTGTGTCCATGACCTGGCTCTAGCACAAGGGAAGACAACACGGATTTCTGAACCACTGAGAACGGACTGCGGTTGACAGAGGTGCTGTGTATGTGTGTAGGTGGTTATGTGTGCAGGGGAGGCGATGCTTTCCTTTCCAGTTCTGCATTTAACTCTAGAAATCTGTGCACTTGTTCCCACCAAAACTCTTGGGTAACCACACCAGGGGAAGAAAATTCTAGCTCTGCTTTCCTCTGCCTTCTAATATTTGGGGTCCCCCGAGCAGTATCGAGGACCCAAGCCCTCAGGACAGTGGAGTCGTTCGACCGAGAGCAAGACTACACGCAAACCAGGCAATTCTAGGCGAGAAATCCCATTCACGGTTATGAGGTAAGAAACATACAGACAGTCTCCTTGCAAATGGTGACTAACCTTACTGGACCATTGTGTACTGGCAACCAGCTTTGCCCACTAGAGCAAGACAGACTGGTCTTCAAATCCAAGCTTTACCATTTTTAGTAAAATACCTAAATGAGGGACACATTACCCACCTCCGAGCGTTCCTCTAAGGATGTGCTGTAACAAAAGGCACAAGCGTGACAACGTGCCTGGGGCCCAGGGAGAGGTTAAGAAATGGGATCCACTGTCACTGGCTTGTGTATTCAGTGCCTACCTATACAAAGTCCCTTCTCTTCTCCCGCCCCTTGTGGGGGAAGGCAAGAAACAAGGGAAGGAGCTAGAAAAAAGGAAAAGTACAGAGAAGGGGAAAGAAGAATGATTCAGAATTATAAGCCAACAGGTAGAAGTCAAGCCAGACAGGAAGACCATATGCAGGTGGGAGTTTTCCACAAGACAGATAGAATCTGATCTCGAAGTCCTGTAACTTCTGAGGCTATTTCGGGGAATGAGTCAGCACAATCAAAAAGGAAGATGCCTCTGATATCCTGTCGCCGGCACTCTCTGGCTCGAGACACCAGCCCCCTGGAGCCCACACAGTCCAGCGCTGCTGGGGTGCTGCCTGGCTGGAGCTCACCAAGCCAGCCAGGAACAAGCATTCTGGTCTGTCGCCAGGTTTCCACTCCTGTTGCTGGGAATGGCCAGCTCAGCGAATTCTGAGGGTCATGTTGTTAAGGGTAGATTATGACGACAAAATTGTTCTTTACATGTTTCTGGAGTCCTTGAGTGCGTCAACTTCTGAGAATGCGTAAGTGAACGCCTTGAAAAGAGGAATCGCATCCTCATACATTGAGATTTTTGTAAGCACCCCCCCCCCCCACTCCGAGCTTAGATGCCAGCACAGGGTGGATAAATATAAAAGGAAAAGAATGTTGGAATCCTACAACCAGAAGAAAATGGCAAGTTGTCCATTCCGGTATTTCTCAGAGTGTCATCCTCAGATCATCTATTTCAGAATCAGCTGGGGGCCTCTTGATAGAGC